TAACTTTGCAATAAAAATAAGAAGCACAAAAATCTTTGCCATGAGGGTAAAACAAAACAAATCCACACAATGACAGAAATCTGATCAACTCACACTTCTGCGTATTTAAAAGAAATATGTTCTTCAAAAGTCAGAGATATAGAGAGATCTGGTTCACTCCCCAAATGACCATAATGGTTGGAGCTGAGCCGATCCAAAGCCAGTAGCCTGGACTGGTGGGAGGAAGGGGCGGTGAAGGAGTTGGGGGGTGGTGGCGGTAGACTGACTGTTGTGCTCTGCTCTGAGGTCCTGCCGTGCGGATCCCTGTGTGCTGGGAAGGAGATGTCAGGGAACTTTTTTTTTTTTTTAAAGATTTGCTTACTCTGGAGTAAGAACCATTGCCTCCACCTATGGGCACTGGTATGTGTCCCGGCTGCTCCACTTCCCTTCCTGCTCCCTGCTTGTGGCCTGGGAAAGCAGCTGAGGATGGCCCAACGCCTTCTGACCCTGAACCTACGAGAGACCTTGAAGAAATTCCTGGTTTCAGCTCAGCTCAGCTCTGGCAGTTGTGGTCATGTGGGGGAGTGAATCAGTGGGTAGAAGACCTTTTTCTCTCTTTCCTTCTCTCCATAAATCTGCCTATTAAATATAAATATAAATATAAATATAAATATAAATATAAATATAAATATAAATATAAATATAATTACAAAGGGTATAGCAACAAAAGGTAGCAAATTAGCTATTAGAGATTTTTCATCTCTAGGATCTGCATTAGCTCAGTGTGTTTGCTCAGTCCACCTGAGCCCCTCCTGGTCGGTAGTTTCTCCTTTACAGACCCCGCTGTTCTGTAGTTGGGAATTGAGAGGTCTTAGGGCATGAGCCACCCTCTTCACCGCTAGCAATAAAGGACTTCCGAATCTCCATCAGTGCGTGGTCTATATATTTTTCGACTCCCTGAGTTTGGAAGCGTGTGTGCGGGGCCTTTCCTGTCTCGTTTCCAGTGTTCCCACCCACTTTTCCAAGGTTTCTGGAAGAGGGTGCTCTGACCCCTCCCTCAGCGTCTTCCTGCAGGGGAGTATTCGGCCTGCCCTGTGCTGGCCACAAGAGGGCAGCAGAGCCCTAGGTAAACCTGAGCAGCCTTGGGGAGGCCTTCTGGTAGACCCTCCTGGGTCTTTGATACCTGCAGCTTTGGAGAATTCTAGAGCTGAGGTTTGGAGCAATTATCTCTGCATTCCCTTTTTTTTTTTTTTAATTGTTGCTTACATTATATTATGTAGTACAGTTTTATAGGCGCTGGGGATCCCCCCCACCCCTCCCATACCCCTCCCCATGGTGGATTCCTCCATCGTTTAAATGTTAAAACGTTTATGGAAAAGCAGAATGAAAAAGTAACATTGTGTTGTTATGCAACTTTTTTTTTCTCCCAGAACTGTTTTTCCCGGAATTTTTAGAAGAGCTCTCCTATGTTCTTTGCTGCTCCCTCGTGCTCCTCAGATTCCTGAAGCACCCCAGGGCTGCTGCTCCAACATGACGGCCTCACTGGGCACTCAGTGGAACTTTGGGGCAGGAGTGGCTCCTGTTGGGTTTTTACCTGGGCATGTTTCCTCCTGTTGCTAACCCCGTCTCAGCCCTGAGGTGAGAACAGCCAGAAGCACCTGACAGTAGAGTAAGCAGAAAAGATGTCTGACTCACTCAGAGGGACAGAAGCCCAGGATGTGCTGGTGGTCACTGAGCAGTCGACGTCGCAGGGAAAGCCCACAGCTCTGCCTGGGACAGAAGCAAGGATTCAACCTGCATTTCCAGGATTATGTCCTGGTCTGTCCTGGTCCTTCCAGACTCTGCTGCCCTAGCACTTCCCCCATTCTCTCTCTCTGTGTCAGCCTTCTCCCCTGTTCTCTTGGGAGAGGCCAAAGTTGGACTCCACCATGACTTGTCAAGTTTTCTAACCTACCAGGACCTGGGGAAGTGTGTGTGACTCTCTGTAGTGGATTCCTCTGTGGTCACTTCCTGGGCTGCCCATCTGGGCAGGATAGGTGCTGACCCTCTGGGACTCAGCCACTGGCAGATGGTGCCTGGGGAGTGGGTATCTTCTGGGGCTCTCCACCCCAGGAGTGTTGGACTATTTTTCTCATTACAATCATTGCCTTTCTCTTTTTCTTACCTTTATACTCTTTATTTTCTCATTGCTTCTTTCTGCTTTCTCTCCTTTATAATTTTTATATTTATCTATTTATTAATCTAACAAAATGAATTAAATTTTCTCTATGAATATCTTTTTGTATCAGAACTAACTCTTTTCCTGTGTGTTAGGACAGTACTATAACTTGTGATAAATGCATTCTACAAAATTAGATTACAACATTTTGCACCAGAGTCAACTCATCTTCTGATTCTACTTCCATGAATGTTCTGACGCCCCTTGTGCATCTCAGAGGCTGGAGGAGAGCGAGACCTCCTCACCTCCTCTGGACTCAGGCTTGGCAGTGGGTGGGGGTCTATTCAGAGCAAGGTTGGGCAGCAGGGGTCCTAGGCCAGGAGGACTCTGTGGCTGACCTCTGGGTGGGGCTGGGCAGACCCTGGTCCTTGGGAGGGAGAGGGAGCAGAAAGCTGATTCTGAGCTGGGGTTGTATCATTATAAGGGTGACAGCCTGGCCTGGGAAGGCCCTTCCCCATGAGGTGCAGACTGACAGGCCCAGAAGGAGGAACTGTCCCCTGGGGCTCTGCTCAGCAGGTTGTCAGGCCACAGCTCTGCCCACCAGCCAGGTTCATGTCAGACAGAAGAAAAAACTTTATAAAATAGAAAAAAAAAAACCAAAACCAAAAACCAAAACCCAGCATTCTGTGTGTGTGCTCACACATGAGCAAATGTCTTTTATTTTTTGTTTGTTTCTGGAAAATGAGCAACTGGAAAACAGTTTTTTTTTTTAAAAGATTGATTTAATTTTATTGAAAAGACAGGTTTGCAGGGAGGAGAGACAGGGAGAAAAGTCTTCCATGAGCTGATTCACTCTACCAATGTTTGCAATGGCTAGAGCTGATCTGATGTAAAGCCAGGAGCCAGGAGCTTCTTCCAGGTCTCCAGTGGGGATCATCTTCTGCTTTCTCAGGTGCATTAGGAGGGAGCTGGAACAAAATTGGAACAGCTGGGACTTCAATACGTCCCCTGATTGGAAGAAGGTGTTTCGGGCTGCAGCTTAATCCAGTATGTCACAGCAGCTGCCCCAGCTGTCGTATCTTAAAATAGTAACACATTTAATATACTTTGTGTTGTCTGTCATTTTATGGCTGAGACTCTAACTCAAAACTAAGTTGAAAGTACTAAAAATACTAAGAGGTATGACCTGCCTTTAACACGGAAGTTTAACTGCAACAATATTAGGATCATTTATATTTCAGGTGAAATCATGGGTGTCTCAGTGCACATGCTCATGTTTCAGCTGCTGGGCCAGAGTCTTGGAGAGCTGGGAGAAGATGAATGCTGTCTGTTGCCTCCTGCCCAGCTCACAGGGCTCTGTGGGTGTGTCTTACAGAAACTGCCCTGGGCTGGGTACAACCTTCTCTGCCTGATAAGAAGGGCAAAGGGCTGGGCGGGCTGCAGGGTGAGAGAAGCTTCCAGGTAATACATCAAGTGGAGGCCCTGGGAGTCTGTGTCCCTTTGCCAGCTCTTTCTCACTTTAAGTTGTTTGGAACTGGGGCTGGGTTGGGCTGGGAGGGGGAGCTGGGGAAGATAGAGGGTACAGTCTCCCTGTAGCTCTACCTTCTGCTTCCTCTGGGAAGTTCCTGGATCAGGACAAGGCAGGACTAGTGTTCGACCCTGTTTATAGTTGTGGACAAGAAAGTGGCAGGGGGCCCGGCTCAGTAACCTAGTGGTTAAAGTCTTTGCCTTGCATGTGACCAGATCCCATGTGGCCATCAGTTCTAATCCTGGTGCCCCGGCTTCCCATCCAGCTCCCTGCTTGTGGCCTGGGAAAGCAGTCAAGGAAGGGCCAAGGTATTGGGATCCTGTACCCATGTGGGAGACCTGGAGGAAGTTCCTGGCTCCTGACTTCGGCTCTTGCAGCCACCCGGGGAGCAAATCATCAGACAGAAGATCTTCCTCTCTGTCTCTCATCCTCTGTATAAATGACTTTAAAAAATATTTAAAAAAAAAAGGTTGGGCCCAGTGTGCTGGCTTAGCAGCTGAAGTCATCACCTTGAATGTGCTGGGATCTTGTATGGGTACCAATTCTAATCCCGGCATAACCGCTGCCCATCCGGCTCCCTGCTTGTGGTCTGGGAAACCAGTCAAGGATGGGCCAAGGCTTTGGGATCCTTCACTCATGTGGGAGACTCAGAAGAAGCTCCTGGGCTCAGATCGGCTTAGCTCTGACCATTGTGGTCACTTGGGGAGTGAATCATCGGACGGAAGATCTTCCTTTCTGTCTCTCCTCCTCTCTGTATATCTGACTTTGCAATAAAAAGAAATAAATCTTTAAAAAAAGAGAAAGGTGGCAGGAAGGTAATGTGTGTGGCTTAGATCCTGACAACTAATACACACTGAGTGAAATTTAGCTGCTTCTTTAGCATCTTTAGGCCTTGGGAAACCCCCCGATGGGCAGGGCAGGGGGTGACTGAGAGGAGGGGCTGAGGAGTGAGGGGCTGTGCTGCTGCCACTCCCTGGGCAGTTATAGGGCTTTGCATGTCACTGTTCATGCTGAGGGTAGGGAGCAAGGTCCACAGGGTGGGTACTTCCTGCTGGGGCAGCTTTCACTTTAGATTGTGCCAGGGACCAGAGAGAGGCTGGTGCTTGTGGCTGGGAGGGCATGGTGGTCCCGGGGTCAGGGCTCTGTAGAGGCTGCTGCAGCTGTGCCCACTCTGCTGTTCTGGTCTCCTGGGAGCCCAATGTCTCCTGGGAGTAGCTGCCCTGGACCCAGAAGTGGACCTGGCAGAGGACCCAGTGGCTGTGCTGGCAGCCCATGGCAGGTGCAAACTTGGGGATGTGGACTGCTGGGGTCTCTGTCTGAATTTGCTGGCTTTAGACACGCTGCAGGAAGTCACGGCTGTTCACATTGAGGACAAAGAGGAGCAGGTGAGCTGGGTTGAGGACACCTGTGGGGGAGGAGGAGGAAGGTAGGGAGCAGCTGGCTGGGAGGAGGTTGAGTGTGTTGAGAGGCACAGTGTGGCAGGAGATGGCGGCTGGATAAGTCTCACTCCAGGAAGACCAGGAAAATGTTGCTGATTGTAGTGCTTTGTTTCATTACTTTTAATCACATTTCTCAAGTATGTAGTAGGGCCAGGCCAGGTTCTAACCTCTCGTAGTGTTTGTACAGATACAAAGTCACATAGCTCTCACTGCATTGTGTGTGAGGCTGCTACCTCCTTTTTGGCAGTTAAGGAAACTGAATTTAGGAAGGCCAAAGACCGTGGCTGAAGCTGTGACGTTAAGAATAAGTAAACTTCAGGAAGTCCATCTCATGGACCCTTGAGTCTGTGATTCCTAGGATCAAGGCTGCCTGCTCACCCTTGCTTCTAGAAATAATGGTTGGGATCTTGTTCTGACCAAGGGTCATGTGCTTGTCTCTTTGGCCTCACCATAGGGTTTTAGATGGCCATGGAGAAATCTTCACACCTGCCAGTTTGAATTTGCTGTGCTCCTGCTGAATGTAGGCCATATCCTGAGGAAATGGAGGAAGGGCCTGGATGGGATTTCATTTGAGGTGACATCAAAGCCTATAAGCCAGACATGTGCTGGGCACCTGTGATGAGCACACAGGCTCCATGAGGGTGGGATCTGTCTCTGATGCTCCCCTGCTGCCAGGGTGCTGTAAGCCCCACATGGATGGCATGAGGATCCTATAGGGGATGCTGTCATCTGTGAGGGTTAATGGGGTGACCCTGGTCCTGCTGTCACCACCTAGGAGATGCCCTCTGTGCTGGACCTGCCTCCTTCCTGCCCAGTGCTTCCTCCTTGACTGTCCTCTGATGACATGGAATGTGGTGGCCACCCCTCTCTGTTCTGCAGTCTCACCATCCTGCTTCTCCTGGTGCAGCTGCCCAGGTGGGGCTCTGCAGGTGAGTGTGTTCCCATTCTTCTCTTGGTCTTCCTGGGTAGGAGGAGCCCCTGGTGTTTTCTGCCAGGATGGGGTGAGGTGTGTGGCTCAAGTCTGGGAAGAGGATGGCACTCCCCATCCTGATTGTCCTTTTTCATTTAAGAAGTCACTTACCATCAGGGGAGTGTGAGGGATGTTGACAAGTCTCCAAGGGTCTTTATGGGCTCGACCCGCATCTCCCAGTGTTTTCAGTCCTGTGTCTGTGTCCGCAGATGTGTTCCAGGTGATTGGCCCCTCCAAACCCATAGTAGCAGTGTTGGGTGGTGATGCCATTCTGCCCTGCTCCCTGTGGCCAGCCATGAATGCAGAAGACATGGAGCTGTGGTGGTTCCGTTCCACATTCACAGAAGCAGTGCTCGTCTATCAGAATGGCCAGGAGCTGGACGAGGAGCAGCTGCCCCAGTATGCAGGGCGGACCTCACTGGTGAGGGATTTCCTCTCTCGGGGTGAGGCTGCTGTGCACATCCAGAACATACAGGTTTCAGACAATGGCAAGTACACTTGCCTCTTCAAACAAGGAGGACAATATGAAGAGGCCATTTTAGAACTGCAGGTGGCAGGTTGGTGACTTGATCGTATTCTAGAAGTCTTGGGGATACTGGATTTGGGAGGAAACTCATGTAATTCAGCATCTCATTTCACGTATGAGGGAAAGGCAGCTCATTCATCCATCCATCCACTTTTTCATTATAAACCTTGTATAAGAAGACCCTAAGTTGTGCCATGCCTTGTTTAGATCTCAGAGACCCTGTGGAGTGTATGATCCAGAGCCGGAGACAGAAACAAGGAAAATAAATGAGTAGTTTGATGACGTCAGAAGGTAATAGGTGCTAAAGATAAAATAAATGAGGGTCAGGAGCATCAAATGGAGGGAATCTAGCTCTGGACAGTGGAGTAAGGGTATACTGTGGTTCAGATGAGCCCTCATTGTTGATCTCAGCATGGCCCAAAGGATGTGGCTCACTCTTTAATTGAATATTTGGGTGAGGGGGGCAGAACAAGCTTCAAAGTAGGGAGGCATTCAGTGTGAAATCTTTGGTACAGGAGATGTCTGGCATGCTCTGGCATACAGGGAGGCCATTGTGCTGTGTGGGTAGAAGTAATAATGGGGGAAGGCAATGCGACAATGTGTCATGATAATATTGCAATGAAGAGCTAGATAACCCTGGAGTAGCAGTGCCCACTGACCAGGAGAAAAGATCATTTGTCACAGGCACTTGTGCTCTTGTGCTGACACATGAGTACTGCAGTGAAAATCCTAGGATCCTCTATGGATTGAAAGTGAGAAGGCAGAGACATGTATCTCACTATGTCCATAGTCATCCACTGTGATTTAAAGGGTCTTTAGGACTGGATGTGTGGGTCCTGTGGAGCAGATTGTGGGGTCTGAGCAGGAGGCAGAGGAAAGGGATTTTAAGTGTGAGGCAGATGTCAGATGGCTGCAGTTGTGTGTGCTGTGCTGGAAGTGTGGATGAAGAGCAGGGAAATTTGGACAGATTAGTGGATGGAAGACTCCACTTGGTGGCTATGAGGATGTGCAATGGAAAGTGAGTGAGGGGCCATGGAGGGCAGTCTGGCGTGGAGAGGACCAGTGTGTGACCTCAGGCAGCAGCATGTGCTGGGAGAGCAGGGTCAGACATGGGGGATGTTTCATAGCCTGACCTAATTCATGAATTCATTGCAGACAGAGAGTTCAGAGGGGGAGGTGGGGACTGCAGGGACTGTCAGGGTTTGCCTTGGCTGCTTGTTCTTAGTGGTGGGAATATTGGCAATTATGTGTGAAGGAAGCTTCCCATCATAATACTATGTAAAGAACAGCCAGGAATCTCAGTGACATATTACAGAATTCAATATAGGCACTGAGAGATTTAAACAACCTGAGTTGGGCTTGGTGAATCTCATTGTGTAGCTCACATATTGTTGGTCTGGTTTTGGAAGTGATACCAAAACCATGATTGTTTCCAAGAAATCCTGCCAGCAAAGGTACTAGAGGAAGACAACACTTTGCTGAGAATCAAACCTGAACACATTGCACAGTAGAGGATCTCCGTCAAGGCTTGAAAGACAGAAAGAAAGCTTTCTTTTTTTATTTTTATTTTTTTGAGTGAGTGTGTATGTGTAGATAAGCAGGTACAATGTGCATTCCATACCTTAATACAAGTTCTATTTGGCTTTCTCCAGCTGAGCCTTTGTTTGACACAATGACACCCAAGGACAAATTGGGCATGAGAGGAAAGAAGCAGATATGTTCAAGGAATAGAGAGACTCTGGAATGTAGCAGCCGTTATGCTGGGGGCCAACTGTTCACTATCTTGTGACCTTGGTCTTCTTGTCTGCCTCATTTTGGGCGTGGAAGGCTCTGGGCTACAGGCTGTCAGTGTCCAGGGCCAGCCCGTACTCTGTGATCTCACAAGGACCAGTGACCTCTGAGTATGTGTCCTTGATGTGTGGTGGTTAGACCTGTGCATGGTCCAGGATGGAACCCACTGAGAGCCATTGTGCAGATGCTTTGCTGCCTCTCCCTCTACGCCAGGTCCCTCTGGATTTGGCCCCTTACCTCCTGTGGGTGAATGTGATGGATCCCTGGTTCATGGCTGGCACGGATTAGCTAGCACTAAAGATCAATGAAATCCTGCAGTCCAACAAATCTGTTACAGATAAAATGACTGTAGCCACTAATGCGGCCACAGACTGCTGGGCCTTGATGTCTCTTATTAGGCTACCTTGCTTCTGTTTCTGAAGCAATGAGGGCCTATTGCATGGGTCCAGAGCAGTCAGAAGTATTGATTGTTGAATCAATGGCTTAGAACTAGCTCATCACTAGGAAATTGGATTGCAAGCTCAGTGAACTCAAACCCAGTACTCAGATAGTGATGTGGCAATCCCGAGTATTACTTTACCTGTTGCAACAAACAACCTCATGAACAGTTTTAAAAACAAATAACAACTTATCATCGAATTGTAAGACTTGAAGCACTGAATTTCAGATGTAACTCACTTGAGATTTACCTGGTAATTTAAATGGTTAATTGCTTTTACCCTGAAGAAATCTCAACTTCTTCCATTCTATACTAGAAGGTAGTTTTTCAATTTAGTGAGGCCCTGATGCTTGCACCGAAAGAGGGAGAGGAGAGTTAAATCCTTTGATGGTGTCATTTCAGAATGCTGTCTCCGGGCAGTAAAGTACATTTCTGGGTCATTTAGCCATCAAAAGGCCTGTCTACTTTGTAAAATTACACCTTCATATTCCATACAAGGAGAGGTACTTACAGTTCCCAGTGATCAAAAGTGAACAGTTGCAGAAAAAAAGAGGATAGGGTATTCTCTCATCTAATTTACAACAGGGAGACCGAAATCTTACTCTAATTGCTGTTTGTCCTTTCCATCAGCTGAAGAGGTCACTGAAGAGGCTCTGTGTGCTCCCGTTTCTGTTGGTCAGATGGCTGTTGGCTCTCCTAGGGCATCCTCAACCAGAGCGCCTGTGTGACCAGTGACATCCCAACAGTCCTGTCCTCCAGGGCCTACCCCAGGCACTTTGTTCTTGTGGAAATGGCTGAGAGTAAACCAATAACACAAGAACTTTCCCAGCCTCTGCTTAAGCCACATTATCTAGTTTTTCATTGGTCAAATTGAGTCACATGATGAATTTCTGAGTGTTAATCAATTACACAGCACATGGTGAAGCACTAGCTCAGTATAAAGAAGGATAATGTTTAAGAGGCACTTTATAATCAATTGATCTCTAAGATGTCAAAATTATGAATTCAGTGCTCAACGTTTGAGTTTCAAATGTTTGTAAGGCAATTGGTTGAGATAACACATAGATACATGGATATAAGGAAAGGAGCTGGCGAGTAGGGACAGCCTGACGAAACTGGAGTTAATTGGTGTGGTTTTCCAAGCAATATCCAATATCCAAGAGGCAGTGTATGTAGAAGCAGATGCCTAGGGGAGAGTGTGGGGTGAGCAGAGTAGAGAATCAAGGAAGAATCCTGGGACCCAATACTTTTGTTATCTAGTACCCTGAGTCGTAAATGCTCTCTCAACCTTTGACCTCCAGGATACAGGGCTCTTGGTCTCCTTCAGGGCAGGCCTTTCCCATGGCGCCAACAGAATGCAACATGCATGGCTATACCTGAAGTTGGGCAACACTAGAACCTTGCTGAAACTGTGGGTTTTCTATGGTTCTCCAAGACCTCCACAGCTCCCCTCTTGTAGGCTTGGGCTCTGCCCCACAAGTGCACATTGAAGGGCCAGAGAAGGACGGAGTTCGTGTGGTGTGCAAGGCTTCAGGGTGGTTCCCAAAGCCCCAGGTGCAGTGGAGAGACGTCCGTGGAGAGAAGTTCCCGGAGTTCTCTGAGGACCACACCCAAGACACAGCAGGGCTGTTCAGCGTGGAGGCTGCTCTGGTGGTGAGAGACAGCTCTGCAGGGGATGTGACCTGCTCCATCCTCAATCCCATCCTGGGCCAGGAGAAGGTCATGGCCATCCCGATCCCAGGTCAGTGCTGTCTGTCCTTCTGAGCAGGGCTGGAGAGGGTGGTGTCCCTGGGTGTGCTGGTTGGGCTTGGGTCCTCCCCTGACTTGCTCTCCCGCTGGGCACAGAGCCCTTCTTCCCTCAGGCCTCTCCCGGGAAGGCAGCTTTCGCTGTGAGCCTGACTGTGCTGGGGCTGCTACTTGTTGGAGCTGGCTGGGTCACCAAGAGAGAGCATTCTGCAAAGGTGCGGGAGAGGCAGAGACAGAAGGATCTGTGCCGGGCTAAGCAGGAATACCAGCAGGCAAAGGAGGAGGCGCTGAAGTCCAGAGGTAGGGAGGAAGGTTTCAGAAGGGCAGGGGTGGCAGTTGGTGCATAGAGGGGACAGCCTGACATGACTGGAGTCCATGGGTGCAGCTCTCAGAGGACATCCAGGACCCCAAATTAGAGCAGGTGGTTGTGGAGACTCAGAGCAGAGCTGCTGGGGGATGTAGAGATGTGGTGGGCCTGGAGTGAGAGCTGTGTATAGCACAGAGCAGAGGGCTTTCCTGTGGGGTCTTCAGCACATGGCCTCTCCTCTTCCTGGTGTGGCGTTCATGGTGTTTCCACTCTCTTTCAGATGAGCTCCAGGCAGAACTCGGTAAGCTCTGCTCTCCCTCCTGAGCTCTGTGTTTGCTGGAGAGAATCCTGTGGCTGTCAGCTCACCTGTTCCCTGTGTGGTGCTTTTCAGGTTGGAGGAAGGCAGCATTCCGGGCTGGTGAGAGACTTTGCAGATGTTCTGTTGTTTCCTGTCCCAGCTATGCCTGGCTGTCCCCTCTCCTTGTTTCTGTCCTGGCAGAGGGATGTGGACCTTTTTCTTTAGGGCAGCAGTGGTGGTAGTGGGTGGCTAATCCTGGATCAGTGTGTTTTTCCACCCATGTAACTGTTTTCTATCTCTCTTTAAGCCCAAGTTGCAAACCTAGGCCTGGAGTTTGTCCTGCCACCCGGGTTTTATTCCTACTCTGCCCTGTCCCTCACATGAGTATTGTTACTGTCTTAGCCTGCAATGCATGAAACTTGGGTCTGCATCAGGAAGCCCAAAGCAGATGTTCTAGGTTTCATGGGAGGTGGAATGAGTGAATGGCACACTGGGTTTGGGAGTGTGACCTGCTTCCTTCTCAATGTACCTGCAGGGGGAGGCAATTTGTCCTGTTCTGCACAGGTGCAGGTGTGAATGGATGAGCAGAGGACAGGGCTGCTGACCAGGTGCAGTGAGTCACGGGAGGAAATCATTCTTTGTGAGAGTAGTGGTGCTTCTCTCTATCTCTCCATGTTTATGTTTATAAATTTGTTTAACATTTAATTCATACTTTGAAAGTTATACTTGGAGATGTGAAATTCACAGAGACAGGTCTTCCAGCTGCTAGTTCATTTCCTAGTTCTGGTTGATGCTAAAGCCAGGGACCAGGAGCTTCTTCTTGGTCTCCTATGTGGTTGCAGGGGCCCAGGCACTTTGCCTTCCAAGTTGGAGTAGCAGGGATCTGGATCAGAAGTGGCTTTGCTGAGATTTGAATTTGTACCCATATTGGAATGCCGAGCTGTAGGTGATGGCTTAGCCTGATATACCAAACTGGAAGACCATGTTTTCTCTTTGTGTTTTAATTTTTCCATTTTTTACTTTCTGGAAACAATATGTAATGAGTAATTGTCATACATACAGAGTGAATTATAATTTTCACTTAATATTTGGTGATGTAGTACTCTTTTATCTCACAAGCAACACTGAGGGACATGTGACACAGGAGTCTCTGTGTCCTTAGGCTCAGCGCAGAGAGTGGACAGTTAAAAGTCACACAGCCGTGGGTCAGAGCAGGCTTCCTGATCTGTAGCCAGGAACTTCCCACAGTCCTCTGCTGTCTGAACCTGCAGGAGGCCACTCCTCTGCAGCCTCCCTCCTCCTGCTGTCTCTCCCCTCAGCACAGAGGGCAGGTGGGGGCTGAGCAGGTGGTGGCTGTGGTCTCACAGGTGTGTTTCCTTTCAGGCTGGAGGAAGGCGCAGCTGTATGCTGGTAAGTGAGCTGATGGTTCCTCTGCCTCCCCTCCCTCTGCCCTGCCCCTCCTCTGTGTGTGGACTTCCCCAGCATGGGGGTGGGGGGCGGCATCCATACTTTCCCTGTTCCTGTTGTGGCCTCCAAGGAGGACAGCAGAGATTCCTCCTTGGGAGCACAGCTCTGCCTCTGTTCCGGACTCTCCCTCTACTGTAGGTCACTATTAGAACTAGGGACACCCTCTGGGAGCCCTTGTTCATCTGCTCCTTCTCTCTGTGGTCGTGATCATGGGGAGAGAGTAGCAGTACAACAGCTGTCCAGATCAAGAACTGCTTGTCTCCAGAAGACTGGGGATCACAGCCACTTGCTTATACCTCAGATCTTACTTAGAGGATTAGTAGTTCTATTACTTTCTTATCCCCAAATCTGACCCTTTTTGATCCAGTTGGTGTCTGAAATATCTGACATTATGTACAGCATGCTGAATGGATTGTTTGATTGGCAGGGGATGAGTGAATGAGGGGAGGCAGAGAGAGTAAAATCTAGAATGAGAGAGAGAGAGAGAGAGAGCAAGCATTTGCTAATTTTCTCCCCCTCTGCAATTAATAACCAGTGCTGGGCCATATTGAAGCCTATAGCTGAGCACTCAGTCCAGGTCTTCCATATGATGTCAGCATCCCAAATCTGCAGTGCTGCCTCTCAGTGTCTCCGTACTTAGGAGAAGCTGCAGTCAGCAGTTGGGGTTGGGAACTGTACATGGTACCTTAATGGGAGTGGTTGGTTTTTTAACTATTAGGCTGAACACTTGCTTCTGTTTCAATTCTTTTTTTTTTTTTCACTTTATTACTATTTTATGATACAGCCCCAAAGACTCTGGGATTTCCCTTAGCCCTCTGCAAATTCTCTTTCCCACCATTGATTTTGCATATATGATTACAATAATATAGTTCTTCATATATAGTCATAAGTCCACCATTCTGCTATTTAAGAGTATCCTGATATTTCAAGCATGGACAATGATAGAATCCAGTACCCTATTGTTGAGACATATTTCACAGTTTCATTGGGAGTCCATGTTTGATCTGGAAATAGAGATGCATACTGCATTGTATCCTCCCATCTGGGTGTGGTTGTCTCTATTACACAGTTACTGTACATTCCCTTTAATGAAAAGCCACAAAACAATGTCAACAGGAAAAAACCAGAATTTTACAATGCCATGAACGTAAATAACATGCTATTGAATGACTGAATTTGTTGCTGAACAAGTGGGAAAGAAAATCTAGAAACTTTTTGAAGAAAATGTTGCTACTGTATGATCTACGGGTCAGTGAAGAAGTTAATGTGAGAAAATTTTTTTTTTTTAAAAAAAGCAACAACAACAACATTGAAATACGTGAGATATAGTTTCCACTGATCTTTTTTGGTGAGATGTGTCTCCTGTAGGCAACAGATAGATGAGCTTTGATTTTTGATTCAGTCTACTAATCTATGTGATGTTTGATTTGTGGGTTTAAGCCATTTACGTTCAGGGTTAATATGAATAGATGGTACTGTATCTTGTCATTTTAGCAACGGGTTGTTCATTGATTTAATCTGCTGGTGTCATTTTACTGGAATGTTCTCCACACTTGTTTTTGATTTTGGTGTGTGCCTTTCCTTTTCTCTGTCAAGACAACATCTTTAAGTATCATTTGTAGGGCAGGTATAGAAGAGGTGAATTCCTTTTCTTTACTGTGGAAGAATTTTCTTTAATTTTCAAAGACAAAGAAAAGCTTTGTTGGGTAAATTATTCTGGGCTGACTTTTTTCTTTTATAATCTGGAATAAGTCACTCCATTCTCTTCTGTGCTATAGTTTCCTCCAAGGTGTCAGCTGTGAGTTTGTCATTCCTCTATATGTCAATTGATTTTTTTACATGTACATGTTTAAGAATCTTTTCCTTATGTTCTATTGAAGAGAGCTCGATAATTATGCGTTGTGTGAAGATCACTTTTGGCCAACCCTGTTGAGAGTTCTGTTCTACTCCTATATTTTGTTTCCCAGTTTATTCTTCATGTTAGGGAAGTTTTCATTTATTATTTCATTGAATACATATTTAAACCCAGCTGCTCTTTCTGCACTTTCTGGAACTCCCATAACTCTCTTATTTGCCTTTTAATAGTGTCTCTTAATTCTTAAATTTTTTTTAACTTGAGTCAGCTCCATTTCCAACTTTTTGATTGTTTCCCCTTTGTGGCAGGGAGCATCTTCCAATTCTGAGATTCTTTCTTCTGACTCATTCATTCTACTGTTGAGGCTTTCCACTGAGCTTTTAATTTGCTTCATTGATATTATGCTTGATTGTGTTTTAGTCTTGCTATTTCCTGTGTTATATATTGCTTAAATTCTTGCATATGTTTCTCACTGTTATTGATAAGAAGCTTTATAACAAGTGTTTTGAATTCTGTATCCCCCATTTTCTTGATGTATTCCTCAGCTAACTCTGAGGATGTCAGAGGCCTTTGCTCCTTTTCAGGGAGTCTTCAGTAATATTTATTGTGCCTCTCTCTCTTCTTTTGCTTTGGTCATTGTATTTCTAGTTAGCAGATTCTGTTCCTTAGGGCAGGTTCCCAAGCTGCCTGTATAACTCACAAGTCTACAGTTTGATTTTACTGATTGCATTTGGTACCTAGCTCCTTTTTTGTAGTTACTTGAGCCACTCCTTTCAGCAAGTTTCAGGCCTGGGCTCTTGTGTTAGACTTCCACCACAGTCTCTGTAGCCACAATTGCTGGGTCACCAATCTCTACCTCTTGTGATCCTATGTCATGGCTGCACCGTTGTCTGTACAATCTTCCACTTCCTGTTTGAGCAGTTCCAAGAATTCTGGACTGTTGTTAGTGCTGATCTTGGTAGAACCTGCTGGCCGTTAGTTCTGAGGGACACCCAGATCTATTTTGGGTGGAACCCATAGGTTGCCAAAGTCAGTAGTATTTTCCCTGTGAGACCAGTGCAATGCATTGAACTGGAAGTGTGTTTGCTCCCAGCTTAGCACATGAGCAGCTCAGTGTTGTCTCTCCAGTCCTCCAGCCTTTGCCACACTGTACAAAGTGGCACCTGGGTTAGCAATTGCCGTTATGTCTGCTGACCATTACGTCTGGGGGCTACCCTAACCTATTTTGGGTACAACCTGTAGGATGCACATTAGTACTGTTTTCCCTGTGGAGCCAGTGCAAAGCACCGAGCTGGAAATGGGTTTGCTTCTGGCTTAGTGCATGTGCAGCTTGCTGTTGTCCTTCTAGTTCCAAAGCCTTTGCACACTACACAAAATGGCACCTGAGGTAGAACTGGTGGGGGTCTGGGCTGTGAAATCCACCCTGTTCTGCACCACCTCCGTGGGGTCTGCTGCTTTGCCTCTGCTCCTGCTCAGATCAAACAAATCAACAGTATAGTCAGTTCTTTGCCTGGGTTCACCTCTTGAGCTTTTGATGAACTACCCTTCCCAGCTGGCTGCCAGTGGAACTCTGGCCACTGGTGGAGCTCAGATCACCATTTGCCAACCACCACTGGGGTGTCTTGTCACTGCAACACCACTCTCTATTTCATCTCAGCTAATCCTTTTCTATCTGTTCACACCTGTCCTCATCATTTTTTGCCATCTTGGAATCCAAAACATTCAATTTTCTTCCAGGGATTCCATGGGCCAGTCCTGCAATTACACTACAAATAATATATGTGTTCTCAAATTAACAGCTGAAAATGTTGAATCTGATCTCATTTATTTCAGAAATTGAAACAATTCCTATCAGACACTTGCTATGAAAATTAAGTGAATTTGCATCATGATATTTATTAAATACTACTTCACATTTCGTATATTAAAACTTAAATCCTGATTCTATTTCATGTTCATTTTTCTTTCCCCCCACCCCTTGTCTTTTTAGTAAGATATAGTCATGGCACAGACTTCCCATTCAGTTGATAGCTAATGCAAGTGAAACATTAACTTTTCTTCCAGAGGTTACATGGGCCATTCCCATTTTATATGCGATCTTGTTTCTAATTAAGCAAATCAAAAGACATGGAAATCTGAATTTCTCTGACTAAATATATGTAGATGTCTGTGATGGTCAAAAAGTTATGGACTGATTGGCCAGCAGAAATACTAGTTTACTTTTCACTGCAAATGTTCTAATCTTGTTCTTGTGTCTAACTTACAGACTGCCTTCCTCTGCGCTGGGTAGTAAATTCTCTCACTAATGACTGCCTAGACTCTGAGCACATGTGGAGCCTTTGCTTTGGTCAGTAGCTGCCTCTCTCCTCCCCAGGGGCAACATGGAGAGGGAAGAGATACAGCAGCCTTCAGAGGTAGAGAGAGGCTTACTGTGCTCCCCTTTTGTTCTTCAGGTGCTCATGCTGGGAAGGCAGGGCTTGGCTGGTGCTTAAATGCTTTTACTGTTGCTAGCTGAAAAGGGAAAAGATAGGTTCTCAGTGATCACTCAGAGATACCATTGGTGACTCTATTCCATGACCTTGGAGTTTTTTGGTCTGGGTGACTTGGCTTTGAATGGGAAATTGATGCACTATGTTGGTTTTCTTCCTCTCTCAGACCTTCCCTTGCTCACTGGTTTTCTGGACAGCTCTGACACCCTCAATCTCCCTCCACAGTGTGTGGGAACTTTTGCATTCCCATTTTTCATGTGCAAGTTGCAAGGATCCTTGCATTCTCTCCAGACACCTTCTCTTATTTGAAGGTTAGTGTAGCATACAAATGTTATTGTAGGAATTTTCTATTTGTGTTTACAAAAATGACATTGGCCTTGCTGAGTTAAACAACACAAGTTTATTGACTGAAGCTCTGTAGGTCAGAAGTCTGAACATGTCTCACTGGGATAAATGTATGTGTGTCTACATTCCTTTCTGGAGGCTTCTGTCTCTTCCAACCTTTAGAGCTCATTTGCTGGGCTTGGTTCAAGGCTCCAGTGTTCTCTCTGCAGATCCAGCAATGTTGGCATCTTCTTAATCCTATTTGTATCACAGTT